TTCATTCTAGTGGCCATTGACTAATTCACTGGGTGGGTCGAAAAAGCATGTCATGTCAATGTCACAAAGCATGTGGTTAATCGTTTCATCAAGCATAATATCATTTATCGATATGGGGTTCGCGAGAAGATTATTTCCGACAGCAAGTCGAATCTCAACAATAAGATGATGAAAGAGTTGTGCGAAAGCTTCAAGATAAAGAATCACAATTCTTCCCCTTACCGTCCTAAGATGAATGGCGCGGTTGAGGAAGCTAACAAGAATACTAAGAAGATTATGCAGAAAATGGTTATCACTTATAAGGATTGGCATGATATGTTTCCATTTGCTTTACACAATTATCTTACTTCAGTACGAACGTCAACCGGGGCGACCCCTTTTTGTGGTATATGGCACAGAAGCAGTCCTGCCCGTGGAAGTGGAAATTTCTTCTTTAAGGATAATGAAAGATGTATAGTTGGATGAGGCTGAATGGGTTTAGAATAGATTTGATCAGTTGAATCTCATTGATGAGAAGAGATTGACAGTATTTTCCACGGGAAGTTATACAAGAGGAGGATGAAGAAAGCTTTCGACAAGAAGGTACGTCCATGAAATTTTCAAGCTGGTGATTTTATGCTGAAGAGGATCTTGCCTCCTAATGATACATATGCTAGGGGTAAATAGGCTCCTAATTATGAAGGACCATATGTTGTAAAAAAATTTTTTTCACGAGGATCTATGATGCTCACAACTATATGTTGCAACTGGTTTTTAAATCAGAGTCGCCACCCTTAATTTTTATCATATGGAAGGGAGTATAAAAGAATAACCCTAAAAGTTACATAGATTCTAGATTGTTGACTCGGTTTTAGACAAAGGGAAGGTGTTAAGCACTCCTCATCTACCTTGTTCACAAGGATACTAGGGTTAGAAGCGCTATGTTTAGGAAATGGGGTTTTTATTATTTTATTAGGAAAAAGGATTTGAGTTTTAGTTAGGGGAATTCGCCACGATATTAATCGTATGCCTATGTATCCTCTTAGGAGGAATCAGAGTCCCATTTCGCAGTTCGCGGTTGGTTGGTGTTTTTTATAAGATCGTGTAGAATTGTTTTCAAATTAACCTTGAACATTGTCTGGGTTGTAAGTTGAGTGATCGTAGACGCAATTCGCAGTTTGATTCGAAGGCAATGCTTCTTAATCCTTTTTCGAAAATGTTCTTGAATTTGATTATGTTAGTAAAAAAAGGATTTGATTTCGGTTAGCTGTTTTAAAATGTAGAGCAAGGGGAGTCTGATATAGTCTCCTAATCACATGGTCAGATATTGACTCAGTGCTACTCGTTATGAAGGATGTGGAGGAAGTATGATATAGTCTTCCTCACCACGTAGCCAGATATTGACTCCCTGCTGCCCGTCATGAAGGATGCAGAGTGTGATATGGTGGTAGAACCGACTGTTAATACTGGTTTTCATTTTTTGTTCGCAAATGTCGTGGTAAGCAAGAGTCTCCACAAAATTTTCTTTTATCCAACAAAGGAAAGGGTGAAAAGAACAGAAAAAAACCTCTTTTCGAGATTTTCTGAGTAAGGGGGGTAGATTATGGAAAGGGAAGGTGTTAGCACCCTTTCCATCTGTGGTTTTCCACGGGCTCTTAGGTACTTGCTCATTTTTGAAAACTGTTTTAAAAGTTTTTTGTTTGATTTATGGTAACTCTTGTATCAGTCCTCAAGAGTGTGATAAAGCATTTTTGAAAGTAGTTTTTGAAAAGTGTGTAGGTGTGAAAATTTGTTTTTGAGCAAGTACTTAAGAACTGTCTACCTACTCGAAAAATGATGTTCTTTTCCTCCTTTCCTTTAGATAGTGTTATCCTACTATTAGTGAGTAGGTAGCCCTATCGTCGAATGTTGAGGGACTATCGAAAGGGACGCTTATGGTCATTGAAGGCAACATGTAAGGATGCCTTAGCATTTCGAAGGGACTGTCATCATATAGGCAACATTGAAGGACAAGATCATTTTCTCGTAGGCAACTCGAGGGACGTTTAAGGACCATGATCTTTTATGATGATATTTATACCAAGGGTATTTTGATAAGATATCCCTACGTTCGAGGGACATGGTCATTTCTGAGGCAACCAAGTGAGAAATACCCTAAGGGTGTAAGTGTGCAACAATGTGTTTTTCAGTTATATTTGTCTTGCAATTAGTGATCTAACGATTATTTGATTTTATCTTGTCATGCACACCTAAGTTACTAACAGTTTATATACAAGCAGGTAAGAAAATATAAAGCGAGAAGTTAAAGTTCCTACGTTATCACAGGGCTTCGGGACAATTACATAAAAGAGGTGCAAGAAATAAAGTGTGGAAATTAAAAGTGCGGAAATTTAAATCCTAAGCTATTACAACCGTATGCAGTTACAATATTTATATAAAAATATGAGAATGAAAATAATGCGCGCGAAATGAAATATTACGTCTAAAAAAACCTAGTAAATAAAAATAAACAATAAGAAAATATTGTTTTTTGTTTTTTTGCTAAGAGAAAGATTAATTTTAAATTTTATTTCTAATTAAGAAAATGGAATGAAATAAAACCTAATTCTAACATTTTTTTTGTATTTTTTGTTAAGAAAATAATTTAAATTAAATAAAGAACCTAAGTCTAATTGATTTTAAATTGATGAAATAACATTAAAATAATTAATTAATTAATTAAGAATTTTAGAAAGAAACTAAACCTATTTATTTTTTTTTTATTATTTGCATTTTTTTTATGTAAAGAAAAGTTAAAAGGAAATAAAGAAATAATAAAATAATTAGAGGGCATCAGAACATGGGTAGCGTGGTTTGAAAAAAAACTAAGCCCAGAAACTGGCCAACTCAGAGCCAGCACGAAACTTAAGGCAGATAGTCTCTAGAGGGCCCATCATCAGCATCCAAATCTAGAGCACTTGATCTGACTTTGTGATGTTCTAATGGTGATAATCTGATGATGATGATCTGATGATGAACGCCTGGATCTGTAATAAACTGATTAAAAAGAGAAGAAAAAATGCAAGATCTGAGTGTTAAACCCAGATCTTTTCATTATACGCGCTCCCCTTCAGTAGCTGGACCTGTTTATCAAATGTTATTACAAATGAACAAACAAAAATACACGGGATTCCAGATCATCAAAATCTGCATGCTCTAATATCAGAGTCAGCTAAAAGGTCGTTATGCAGAGGTTGCCGGAGTCAGCCCATCAGAGCCAACCTTCTGGTTGTATGCTCTGATGGGTTCAGAATCAGCGTGGAGTTTGTGGCCTATCTAGTCTACGATCAGAGCCTGCACAAACACATTAGAACAAAACATAATGCTAGCTTCAGAAAATGAAATTAGAGAATATACCTTTGATCAATACTTGAATTTGTAGTGTTGACGCTAATCCTAGAGATTTCAGAATTAGAATGTGGGCAACAGTTTGGACTTGAAGGTGCCAGCAAAACGTGCTTCAATGGGGGCACTTTTGAATTTTTTGAGCACTATGGTGTGCTTTTTTTTGTGGCAGCGTGAGCGTGTATTCTCTCTTCCTTCTCTCAGCCCTTTTTTTCTCAATTTGTGTTTGATGTCTCGTATTTATAAGTGGTGGGGGGGGGGGGGGGGGACAAGAAAACGGGCAAAGAAACATGGCTTTAAAGACCGGCCATTAAACACAACTTTGGAAACAGAATCAGACACATTAAAAGATTTCCATTTTGAGAATTTTCATGCCTTTTTGAGATTCTGAATGAACCTGGACAGGTGAGGGTTAGAGCCTCATACGAATTTGAACTGCTCTGAGTTTCCCTTGTCAGAACTTCTTCAATCAGCCTCTCAAGTGTTATTCTCATTGATGATTATGGACTCCAGTTTGGGACGCTCGGAACTTGCTTTAATCAGCCTCTCAAGTGTTGTTTTCATTGATGATTATGGACTCCAATTTGGGACGCTCAGAACTTCTTCAATCAGCCTCTCAAGTGTTGTTCTCATTGATGATTCTGGACTCCAGTTTGGGACGCTCAGAATTTACTTTATCAGAGCAACCATAATTTCAACGTCAGAACTTCTGAGCCTAAAACACCTCACACCTTCAAATTTTATACTTTCTTTAAATAGGTGTTTGTAACTAACCATGTAAGAAAAGGTCTTGAAAAAATGAGAGGACAAATTTTGGGATACAACACGGAGGAAGTCTGATATAGTCTTCCTCACCACGTAGCCAGATATTGGCTCCGTGCTGCTCGTTATGAAGGATGTAGAGAAAGTTTGATATATTCTTCCTTACCATGTGGCCAGATATTGGCCACGTGTCGCCCATTGAATAATGTGGTAAAATATTGAATTATTTCATCTTAAAAAAGTGTTTGATGTTTTGAGCAATAAACCGATAAATAAAGTGTCGATCGATTTAATTACTCGTAGAGGGATACCTTATTATTTATAGAATGTTTGAATTAATTATATCGTAAAAAAATGTTTGATTGTGTATAGAATTTGATTTTTTATTTATTATTTTGATGTTTTTAATAATAAAAAGAAAATAAATTAATTAAGTTAACAATAAAGTTTTAATAACTAAAATTTAAAGGGTGTTCGATAGCCGGCTATGTGGTGTAAGATTTAGCAAAAGTATAGACAAGTAAGCGATTAGAAACATTAGCCCAAAAGGCCCAACTCAAAATAAATCCTAATTTTTAAATTTTAATTAAATAATTTAAAATTTAATAAACTAATGAGAATATATCCACTTGCTCAGACTCCTCACGTTGCTACATCTCCGAAATTCCAATTCTCATAGACCCAATAAAACAACGACACGCGGCGATGGGATTTAAAATAAATAAAAAAACAAATGCCTCTCTCACGCTATTACTATGAATAGAGAAACAACCCATTCTTTCATAAATAACAAAACCCTCTTCTTCTCTTTGAAACATCAACCACCATAACATCATAATCAAAAAAATGGCAGAAGAAAAAGAAAAAAATGGAGGTCAGCGGAACTGAAAGGGACAGAGTGCAACACGGCGTCCATGGCGGTTTTCACGGCGGGTTCTATATGCAGATCGTGACGACTTCGTGGGCTGGACGGTCGGATCTGGTCTGATCTGAGCGGCTGGGTAGCGAGATCCGTGGTGGTCAATAGGGGTGTTATCGGAGAATGGTGAGTTTGGGAGCGGGAGGAAGCTGGCGGTTCTTACGGCAGGAGGCGCATCGTCGATTTCGAACCTGTGTGGTGATGCTACTTTGTCCGATGTTGATGGAGGATCAGTTGCAGTGTAGGTTTCTGGAAGCACGGTCAAAGTCGGAGATGGAAGCCTGGCGGCGGACGCAGGGGCATTGTGTGCGACTACTTTTCTGTTGTTCTACAAAAATAAAACTCAGATAAAAACAATATTGTTTTGGATTTTGATTTTTTTTGCTAATTGATGTTGTGTTTTCTGTATGATCTTTGGTTCAAGCTTGAAGTTTGAATAATTTTGATTGAAATTAGGCTATTCTTTTATTGTTGCCAATGGCGAGTTCTATTCCATAACATGAGTTGTGGTGAATGCGAGGATGGCGGCCAATTCCTTCTCTGTTCCTTTCTCCTTGTTTCCTGAAAACAAAAGAAACTCTAGTATAGTAGTAAGTTTACAGTTCTGGTGCTTGGTTTGAGAAAAAGTAACGTTAGTATATGGTGACATTGATTGTAGCTTACTGATAAATAAAACCATACGTGCAGGAAAGTAAGGAATTTGGGAGCTTTTTTGGCAAAAACAATTTTGTAAGAGTGAATGAATAGTTAGTATGGATAGTTAGTGAAAAAGCAAGTGTTTTTCACTGTGGTTTTTTGCCAGAAAATTGTTAGTGAATGTTCCTAAAAATAAAGGTTTAGTAAAAATGTGTAGAAATTCTGTGAATCTTACTGTGTGTAGAAAATTGACCTCTAAAAATGTAATTTAAAAAAAAATATTATCATATAAATATCATGTGGTGTTTAAAACAATTAAAAGGAAATAAAAAATTGCAAATCAGCGGGAGGCCTCATATTGAATCATCGGCTAAAAATCGTAGAAAGAAAAAACGTGTGTGTAATTGCAAGTTTGTGAATTTCTTGATGAATTGTGAGTGTGCAATTGCAAAATTATGGATGAAGAATTAGGACAATGAGGATACCTATTTATAGAGTGGAAATTAGGTTAAACCCCTGAAAAGGAAAACTATCCAATATCCAAAGCTCAAATTAGATTTTATTTATTTATAAAGTATTTTGACTATTTTTTAAATAAAATAAATATTTTAATAAAAAATAATATTTTTAAAATATAATAAATAAATACGAAAATAATAATTTAATTAAAAAAATATGATTTTTGTGTTTAGAAAATGAAAATAAAGTTAGTAACAATAAACAACGAAAATATCAAAAGTGCACCAAGTGAGATTCGAACCAGTGGCCTTCTGTTTGTCAGTCTTTCTCCCTTACCAACTATGCTATGTTACTTATTCAAAAGTAAAAAGTCAATTGAAAGTATATGACAGCGAACAATTATTTGCTATTTTTACAAATAATTATTATATATTTAAACAGACTTGAAAGCGAATTTTTATTAAAAAACCTCAGAATGTTAATATTATTAAATCAAAAGAATTTTATACTCTGTAAAACCCAAGTTTGAAAATAAATTTGACGGTAGCACTAAGGCAGGAAAATTTGAGGTATGACAACTGCCCCTATTTAATAACACTTCGATCGAATGGCGTGAGAATGCGTAGGTCTTGTTCATTCGAATCGGAGATTTATTAAATAATGGAAGACCCCAAAATTTGACCAAAGGTTGGCTAGATAAGGATACTCTGATATAGCATACCCCCCAAAGGTTGGTTAGGTAAGGATACGCTGATATAGCATACCCCCTAAAGGTTGGCTAGATAAGGTTACGCTGATATAACATACCCCCCAAAGGATGGCTAGATAAGGATGCGCTGATATAGCATACCCCCCAAAGGTTAGCTAGATAAGGTCACAGTGATATAGCATACCCCAAAGAGTTTTGAAGAGAATAGGCAAAAATGATGACGTATCACCTTACCAGGGTTTGAACCAAAGTTTTAGGCAAAGACGATAATGTATCGTCCTACAAGAGTTTGAATGGAGAGATATGATTGAAGAGTAAGATTGATCTAGACATGACGACACAGATAACTCGTCAATGCCTAGAGATTATCGTAGAATTTACCATAACCTAGGAGATAAATGATTCAAGTTTGAAAAAAGCTAACTTACTAATGCTTGGAGACTAATATAGCAAGTTTTGATCTGATTTGATTTTGTCTATTCATCAAAACCTAGGGGATGAATAAAATAATGTTTGATAACACACTGCTGCCTGGATCCTGATGCAATGGATTATGCATATTTATTTTGCATATCTATCACAACATGGGGGATAGATAATTGAAAAAGCCTGACAACTACATCGATGCATAGATACTGAGGAGATGAGTTATGTTTTTGAGTTTTGCAATCACTGCATGGAGTCTTAGGTAATGAGCTAAATTGTAAAGAAGAAAACACATCGATGCATGGAGCCTTAGGCGATGAGTTAAATTTGGATTTCAAACACTGCTGCATGGAGTCTTAGGTAATGGGTAAGAAGAGGAAAACACACTACTGCATGGAGTCTTAGGCAATGGGTTATATTGGGAGTGTCGCACATTACTGCATGGAGTCTTAGGTAATGGGTAAGGAGAGGAAAACACATAACTGCATGGAGTCTTAGGCAATGGGTCATATTTGGATTTATAACATTGCGGCGTGGAGTCTTAGGCAATGAACTATATTGCGAGTTTCGTACATTACTGCGTGGAGTCTTAGATAATGAGCTACGTTGTAAAGAACACATCACTGCATGAAGTCTTAGGTGATGGGTTAAGTTGTGGATTTCGGACATTGCTGCATGCAGTCTTAGGCAATGGGTTGAATCGTCAAAATAGTAAAACACATTGCTTCCTGGAGCCTTAGGCAATGGGTTAAATTTTGGAGTTTGAACATTACTGCATGGAGTCTTAGGTAATGAGCTATATCGCAAGAGAAGGAAAACACATTGCTGCATGGAGTCTTAGGCAATGGGTTATATTTGGATCTCGGACATTGTTGCATGGAGCCTTAGGCAATAAACTGAATCATAAAAGGAGGAAAACACATTGCTGCCTGGAGCCTTAGGCAATGGGTTAAATTTCGGATTTCGCACATTACTGCATGGAGTCTTAGGTAATGAGCTATATCGCAAAAGAAGGAAAACACATTGCTGCATGGAGTCTTAGGCAATGGGTTGTATTGTAGATTTCACACATTGCTGCATGGAGCCTTAGGCAATGAAGTAAATCGCAAAAAAATAAAGAAACACATTGTTGCACAGAGCCTTAGGCAATGGGTTAAATTTATAGAGGAAGTTTGTTTTGATGATCAAATCTTAGATAGCTAAATCAAAGATGAGATAGGATATTAGCCAGTTGTCTGTTTTTGACTAAGGTGAAAAACTGATGGGGGTCAAGAGATATTGATTCCGCCTAAGGTATGTTTTGAGGAATGCCGTGTATGATGTAGGATGTCTTAGATTTAGTATCAAACCTAGAGTATATATTGAGTCTGTATGCCCCAAATGTTTATGTATACTCCAAGTATTTTTGCAAATGTTTTTTTGATAACTCTCCTTTGTCAAACCATTGGTTTTGAGTTATCAATTCTCCAACATGATGAATTAGTGTGGACATGATGAAGAGTGTCTTGATATTTGTATCATAGGAGCAGGCGTAAGTGCGGATGTAGCCGTAGGTGTAGACGTGGAAATAGTCGTGTATATGATCGTAGGTAAGCTGCCTAGTGAGATTTTGATAGCGACACCTTTGACGACTGTGTCCTTTATCAACCGAGGTAGTTATAGAAAGGTGAATGGATAATGCTGAGCTTGGATTTAAATTTAAGTTTGTCTTAGCTAGTAGTCATGCCTTGAGATTTCTCTGCATTTATCTATGGGCATGTATGATTGAATGCAATACATGTATGCATGTTTGATATGATTATGCTTGATGTATGCATGATGTATGGTATGTACGCTTGATATGATGATGTTATAAATTGAAATAATGCAATGATTGATAAATGTAATGGCCATATTATTTGAACTGCGGAACCAATGCTCAAGGAAGACTATTAGCCAAGACTTTTTTTCTTCTGAAAAGCCATGCCAATTAGGGGCTGGGCTTTTGAAAAAATGTGCCAAACGGGAACTAGTGTTTTGAAAAGATGGGCCAGACGAGAACTAGGCTTTGCACCAATGTTAGTAGAACTACCAGAATAGTATCAGCTTGGTGGCTCAGAAAGGTGAAACAGGCAGGAAGGTTGCCAGCATTGGTAAGGTTACCTAGAGACATTAATCCTGTGATTTGGAAAGTGTGAGGCTACTCACGACTTTCACGTAAGGCTGCTTACATAGGATGGCTGATGAATGCATGCGGTTGCTCATGCCTCGTATGGCTTCCTATGAATGAATAGTGGATGAGGCTGTGTAAGCCTGCTCACGCCTTTTATGGAACACGAATAAGAAAATTTATGGGGCTGCTCACGCCTTAGACAGTTGTACGTAAGGCTGCTTACGATTTAGTTTGATGAAGAATGCTTGTATCATAGACTCACCCAGAGGGATAGTTAGAGATTGTAATAGTGACTCTCTTAGAAATTGACTATATATTTTTTACGGGGTCCTAAGTTTCGGGCTATGATATGTTATGCATGCAAGCAGATGTATGTGTTAATGCGTGGAATGACTGACCAATGAATGTAATGGGTGACTTGGATATGCTTCAATGGATGTTGGAATTTGAATGTGCCAATGAGAATTGGGCTTAAGGGTAGATGCCAAGTGAGATTAAGCTCTTTGTTAGATCCATGTTGTCAGAACTCATCAGCCGGATTAAATGATAGGTATAGCTTGATTTTGGATCGCAGTATCCTAATGAATGCATGCTAATGATTTATGCAGACTTATGCTTTATGATTATGACTCGCATGATTTGTTGAATGGTTCCCCTGTGATAGGTCGTTGATGATTAAGCATAGACGTTTGACTATGTAAAAAGGTTGTTAGTCACATGATGGTTGAATGTTGTGCTTGCATGATTTCCTGATACTCGTTTTAAACTCGGAAGATTGTTGATGTAGAAGAAAGTTTCATTAGAGATTATGAAAGTACACAGGGAGCTTGCCTCTATGTGGACTGTCTTTCCCTAACTTTTGGTAGGGTCTTGGAGGAGATTCTCATTGATATGGGATTGGAAATAGTTTGATCATAGTATGGATGACCCCACTATTTCGCACTTTGAAACATTATGCCCTTGACTAATGGGATCTTGAATGGTTTTCCCTTGATGGGCTATTTTTTTAACCAAATTCTTTTGAATGGGCTTCGTAGCGGTATGCCTTAACATTTTCACTTCTTGAAAGGTAAGCCCCTAATCTCCAGAATTTGGAGGAGGTACTCTTGGATGATTTGCCCTTGTTGAAATGTTTTTGAATCAACTCCTTTTGATGAGCCTCGTAGTGGTTTGCCTAATATTCGAATTTAGAAAGATATGCCCCTAATCTTCATGATTTGGAGGAAGAACTTGGACTTCCCCATGAACTTTGATATGGATTTCCCCAAGATTTGAATCTTTGAAATGTTTGTACTTGAAGTTGCTCGAAGAATTTGGACCCTATGTGCGGTAGGATGAACTTGGTATGTACTGCCCTAACATTTGGAAGGTTTACCCTGAGCCTTAATAGATTTTTTAAGACGAGGAAACCAATTCATACCCTATCGTGATATGACTTGATTACGGGATGCTATTTCGAACGGTATACCCCTGTTTGAAGAGTGCTTTGAAATTTGATCCATGTTGATTGAATCTCAGAATGATCACCCCTTATTGATAGTATCTTCATGTGACATACCCCTACGACCATTAGTATTTCCCCCTGTTTATATAGGTCCTCTTAGATTCTTTTCCCCTAGCTAGAAGCTTCTAGGAAATGCTGCCTTTGATCAGACCTTTTCTTTTGAAATCTCCTTGATGCTAAGTATTGATTCACAAATAATATTGTACATTTTGAAAAATTAATTCCGTTTGATGCACATGAAAGTTCTTGAAATCCAAATTGATTATTTGAAAAGAAACGGAATATTAGAAGATGAATATTCCAAGAAGTGAAGTAGTTAGAAATAATTTTAACAAACATAGAAGTCAGTTTAACACAAATTTTGTCGAGTATGCTTTCATAGTGAACCTAGACACAATTAGGACTTTTAAAGGTTGTAATGTGGCCATGGTTCGTGGTTTAAAGAAACAAAATATATAAGGCTCAAAATTTATTTAGCCTACCCCCATTCTCCTTTATGTTCTCCATTCTTAATTTCAATTAATGCAACAGACACATTTATTCCTAAGAGAAATTTCGTAGTCGCGCAGATGATGAGAAGCGTAGATAAAGATCCAAGCGCCAATGAAAAGTATTGATATAATCCAAGCATTGATGAGAAGCCTTGATGATTCTTGATGTGGTAGTCACAAGATTATTCTCCAATTTATTACTTTAATCCCTTATTTTTTCCTGGACCAATTCTTTTGAATTTTCTGGTCCATCGGGATGCCCCAAATATTGCCTAAGTCAAGTTTTGATTTCCTTTGATTTAGCGGGATTTCTCCTTTTTTTAATTCTCTTTTTTTTTTTGCTTTTGATTTTGAAAATTTACGACTGTCGCGCTGATTGTTTTAAGCTTTGTCTTCATCGTTTCCTCTATCTTAATTGATGTACTGAGAAATAAGACGTCGTGGATTTCATCTTTGTTGATTCCTAAATTTTGGATGATGAATGCGGGGAAGATGATATGCTCGAATCTTTTCTTAGATTTTTCTCTCAATGATGTATCAAGGAAAGATATATGCTTGAACCTTTTCTTAGATCGTTTCGATTCTCCTGGGATTTGAATGCATTGTCGAATTAATTGAAGTCTACCCTGCCCCTAGTTAAGATTAAAGGTTCTTTTTAGGAAATAGAAAGAACTCCAACTTCTGGCTCGAGGGGGTTAACTACGGATTAACTCCTTATATCTCCACTGTTTAGGAATTGAAACAATGCCTTACATCGTCAGCTAAGCCTTACGATTAAAAAGTATATGTCAGCAAAATTTGATTATTTTGTATTTTCATCATTCTCCTCGAAGTTTATTAAAGTTAATTTGAAAATGGGAAAGAAGAGTGAAAAATGGAAAGTTAGTTATTATTGATGGAAAATGATGAAAGATGAAGAGTGAGACGAATGAATTGATTTAAAACATGCATGATTATTTATTTCAATTACTTAATCAAAAGATACAAATTTACACCGAATGATACTTAGCAACATGGAATTTACAAATCGAATTTGATAAAGTCTAATGATCCTTGAGGTGATCTTTTTTTTTGTTGATCCACTGCCTTTAGGGGATGCTTCGTAGCTCCTGGACTTGTCAGAGCATGGGGGTGACCCTTGACTTTTCTTAGACAAACCTATTTCATTGATAGGGCATTTGCTACTAATGTAGAGGAATAACTAATGGTAGTGGAATTTGTGGCGTTGTGTAGGCTTGTAGTTGTCATTGTGAAGGGCTTTCTTCTCTCAATAAGACTTGTATCTCCTGAATTTATCCATATCTATTTTAGTTCACTTGTGAGTATCAGGAAACCTGCTAGCAAATGATAGTTGGATAATGGAGAAGGTGGAAATGCATGAGATGCAAATGTATGGGCGTATGTAAATGCATGGGTGTGCAAGAATATTTTGCAAAAAGGTTTCATGGATATGCAATGCGATGTGGGCGTAGTATGGGGGTAGACATAGGGGTACTGTATACAGGTTTAATGGTAGATATGGAAATGATAATATCCTACATTGTCTCAGAGATTGAGACAAGCAGGAACTCCTTAAGGATGAAGATAATGATGGAGACACGAGTACCCTACACTGACTCAGAGATTGAGACAGATAGAAATTACTTAAGGACGAAGATAATAAATATGGATTTGATGATATCCTACACTGACTCAGATTGAGACAGGAAGGAACTCCTTAAGGACAAAGATAATGATGGAAATGTGGGTACCCTACACTGACTCAGATTGAGACAGATAGGAATTCCTTAAGGACGAAAATAATAAATATGGATTTGATGATATCCTACACTAACTCAGAGATTGAGATAGGAAGAAACTCCTTAAGTAAGAAGATAATAATATATATGGTTTTGATGATGTCCTACACTGACTCAGAGATTGAGACAGACAAGAACTCCTTAAGGATAATGATAGACATGGAAATGACGATACCCCACACTGACTCAAATATTGAGACAGATAGGTACTCCTTAGGGATTAAAGACCATAGAAGACAAAGAGGAATCCCTACAAGCTAGGGATTGTAACCGAGGGACAAGAATTCCTACAAGCTAGGAGTTGTAATAGACTAATGGGTGGTTGAGAATCCCTACAGGCTAGGGGTTATGACTTTCTAAATATAAACCCTATAAGCTAGGGATTGTAGTATATCGGAAGTAACCCTTGCGGGTTTAGGGATGTGATTATATGAATGGTATCCTTAGAAGGTAGGCTCCTAGTTTTAGCCTACAGTTAGTCTACCCTTCCTATAAGGTGGCTTCCTTAAGGGTATCATGAATAAAAACATAAGGAAAAGGCACAAGGGCCTCCCTTAGATGGAGCCTCTTTAAGGACCGAGACTTTCGTCTCAAAGTCGTAAAAGGTCTCGTCATGAGATTTTGGTTAGGATTGTACAAAGAGTCATGGTTGGCATTCCAAAGTCCTACCTTTCAAGAGGATATCTCTTGATAAGTATTCCTTTTGGGGAATTCCATCGACTCTAGGCAAAGTCGTCACATAAACTCACAAGGACGATATATCCCCTAAGCTAACAGACGAACCTTCTTTCTAAGGGTTATTTTGAAAATATTTTTGAAATTGATATCCCGCCACACAGCAAATATAATAATAAAAAAGACAAGGAAATAAATAAAGAATAAATAAAAAAATTAAGAAAATAAAAATCCCATAAAATAAAAACCTAAAACCTAAAGGAAAGGCTTTTAAACCTAAGGTCGAAGTCCCAAGTAGAGTCACCAACTGTTGCAACTGGTTTTTAAATCAGAGTCGCCACCCTTAATTTTTATCCGAAGAAATGAAGTATAAAGGAATAACCCTAAAAGTTATAGAGATTCTAGATTGTTTACTCGATTTTAGATGAAGGGATGGTGTTAGGCACCCCTCATCTTCTTTGTTCACAAGGATACTAGGGTTAGAAGTCTGATGTTTAGGAAACTAGGTTTTTATTATTTTATTAGGAAAAAGGATTTGGATTTTAGTTAGGGGAACTCACCACGATTTTAATCGTATGCCTATGTATCCTCTTAGGAGGAATCAGAGTCTCATTTCGTAGTTCGTGATTGGTTGGTGTTTTTTATAAGATCGCATAGAATTGTTTTCGAATTAACCTTGAACATTGTCTAGGTTGTAAGTTAAGTGATCGTAGACGCAGTTTGCAGTTGGATTCGAAGACAATGATTCTTAATCCTTTTTCGAAAATGTTCTTGAATTTGATTATGTTAGCAAAAAAGGATTTGATGTCGGTAGCTGTTTTAAAATGTAGAGCGAGGGGAGTCTAATATAGTCTCCTCATCACGTGGTCAGATATTGACTTCGTGCTGCTCGTTAAGAAGGATGCGAAGGAAGTCTGATATAGTCTTCCTCACTATGTAGCCAAATATTGGCTCCGTGCTTCTCGTCATGAAGGATGCGGAGGAAGTCTGATATAGTCTTCCTTACCACGTAGCCAGATATTGGCTCTGTGCTGCTCATTATGAAGGATGTGGAGGAAGTCTGATATAGTCTTCCTCACCACGTGGCCATATATTGGCCACGTGTCTCCCATTGATTTGTGTGGTAAAATATTGAATTAATTTATCTTAAAAAAGTGTTTGATGTTTTGAACAATAAACTCGTAAACGATGTGTTTGATGTTTTGAAATAATTTAAAATCTAATAAACTGATGAGAATATATCCACTTGGTCAGACTCTTGACGTTGTTACAACTCCAAAATTCCAATTCTCCTAGACCCAATAAAACAGTGACACGCGACGATAGGATTTAAAATTAAAATGAAAAAACAAATGCTTCTCTCATGCTATTACTGTGAATAGAGAAACAACCCATTCTTTCATAGATAACAAAACACTTTTCTTCTCTTTGAAACATCAACTACCATAACATCATAATCAAAAAAATGGCAGAAGAAAAAGAAATAAACTCTTATCTTAGGATGAAGGTCAGCGGAACCGGAAGGGATAGAGTGCAACACGGCGTCTATGGAGGTTTTCACAGCGGGTTCTATATGCAGATCACGGCTACTTCGTGGGCTGGACGACCAGATCTGGTCTGATCCAAGTGGCTGGTGGCGAGATCCACGGTGGTCGATAGGGGTGTTATCATAGAACGACGAGTTTAGGAGTGGGAGGAAACTGGCGGTTCTGACGGCGGGAGACACATCGTCGATTTTGAACTTGTGTGGTGATGCTGCTCTGTCTGGCGTTGATGGAAGAGTAGTCACAGTGTACGTTTCTGGCAGCACGATCAAAGTTGGAGATGGAAGCCTGGGGCGGACGCATGGGCGCTGCGTGTGACTACTTTTCTGTTGTTCTTCAAAAACAAAACTCAGATAAAAATAATATTGTTTTGGGTTGTGATTTTTTTTGCTAATCGATGTTGTGTTTTCTATATGATCTTTGGTTTAAGCTTGAGGTTTGAATAATTTTTATCGAAATTAGGCTATGCTTTTATTGTTGCCAATGGCGAGTTCTATTCCAAAACATAAGTTATGGTGAATGCGAGGATGACAACCAATTCCTTCTCTGTTGCTTTCTCCTTGTTTCCTGAAACCAAAAGAAACTCTAGTATAGTAGTAAGTTTACGATTTTAGTGCTTGGTTTGAGAAAAAGTAACGTTAGTAGATGGTGACATTGATTGTAGCTTACTGATAAATAAAACCATACGTGCAGGAAAGTAAGGAATTTAGGAGCTTTTTTTGACACTATGGATGGAGAGGATTTCCCTCATCCCGTCAATGCAGACGTAGTGAAAAAGTATTTCGCATAAGCACACATGTTAAGTTGGTTGGCTAAGGCAAAAAGAAAATAAGAAGTTCGGGAAAAAGTTAGGGATTAAAGTGAATACTACGGTCTGCATTGTATCTGTGATATCATCTTAACTTCTGTTGGTTGGCTTAGAAGGATAAGGGATCAGTCCAACCAGTTCGTCAAGAAAGCAAGATATTAAGGAGATTTGAGGTCATAAAAGTCATAGCAGAGTCGGGACCCGATAAATCCATACTCACATTGCCGTTTTTTTCTTATGTATGCTTTGTATGCAATTACCTCTTTTCGAAATTGCTTCACGATGTAAATTTCTATTTACAGACCAATTAATTAATAAAATTCTTCTTTTTCAAATTGTGCCAATTTGTTTTCATTTTTGTTGTTTTGTTGGCGGAAAGACGTCCATCATTTTTTATAAACTCTTCATTTAAAATATTAAAGCTTTATAGCACATGATGTCAATAATTGAAATTGTCTAATGTTTTGGGTGTTTGAGATGATGGCTAAGGTAATCATCCTGCACTCAGGGCATGTTATGATTTCCACTTTTGTAGGTATCGTTGGTCTTTTGTAACGAGAAGGGTACCAGTAAATGGGCAAAAAAGGCCTGGGTGTGACCAGCATGTTGAAATCTTAAGATATCGGGTTCTTGGACGTTGCGTAGAAGGAAAGTACCTTAAAGGTCGAGTTCTACATTCAGAGTATATGTTATCCTGTGTGGCAGAAGATCTCGTTGCAATTTCTGTAATTTTACTTCTATATAATAGAGGGCGGTGCTTCTTTTGAGTAGTAGGAGATGCTCCGGAATTGAGCGGATGATTTTCTCCTCTGTGTAGTAGAAGATGGTTGGCATTTCTTCTCTGTGGTAGAAGATACTTTGTGATGCAATTTATGCAAGTTCGCTTGATAAAGCATTCATCACATTTGTTGAGGGAATCTGATATGATCACCATGTTAGGACACCTGGCCATTCAACTAAAGGTTATAAACCATTCAAAGATGAAGTGTAAGACTTGCTTGATGCAAAGGCTATCAATTTTGGACCAGTCGATCAGATTTGAAGTCTCCTTTGACTCAGTGAATGTTAAGACTACCAAGCGTATCTTCTGAAGCAACAAGTCTATGCGGAGACTAGTCTCCTCAACATGGTGTAGCGGTAGAAATGTTCAAGACTAAGCCATTGGATTGACTAGACTTATACAAATCAAAATCAAAATTGCCACTGCGCTTTATTGTTTCCAAAGGAATGGGAAAAGAGCGAATAACCCAAAAAGAGGGGGAAAGATTCAAGGTAAGGGGGTTGGTTATGCAAAGGGAAGTTATTAGCACCCTAAACATCTACGGTACTCCGCAGGAACCTCTTTGTAAAATCTGTATATTTTGGCTATGAAACATGTTGTATAAAATAGATGGTGAAGGTGAGAAAAGAAATATATTTATTATTTATTTGCACCCGCCGCGGTTGCGAACCTTTAGTACCTACGTATCACCTTTTCATGCAATAGGGGATCAGGGTACCCGTAGTTCCTTTTTTTTTTAAATTTAAAAAAATGTGTTGGTTAATTTTATGAGATAAAACGTCATCGTCATTGTCCGTGTGAAAAACATACCTACTACCCACAATCATGAGAAAGGAGAATTTGCATCATCTCAAAGTGGAGGATATGGCTTGGATTTTAAAATCAACAATGCCTCACTCAACACCCAAGTGAAAAATATCTCTCTTCACTACATATTGTAGAAGTATAGTTGTTTGCATCACTACAAGGATTGATAAGAGTTCGATCTTTTTTTTGAGAAAAGTTTAAAGATAAAAGCCAAAGTGGCAAAATGGTTTGAAATGAGATTGATTGACTTTTAGTCTTCTCACTAAAAGGATGTCAAAGTATTATTAAGTTTATTTGAGTTTATTTATGAAAATGTTTGAAAATGCACGGACCTAAGTCCAAGTTTATAATGAAAGTGGTTCAAGTTTAAAACAAGAAGGGTTTTCAAAAGGAGGGAGAAGATTTTTGAAATTAAAGAAGATGAGAGGTGAATAAGAGGCTATCCTAAAGCATAAGGTAAAAGCTAGGGATTAGAACCATCTAACCAACAAGAAGCCAATACTTGACACTATGAGCCAAGATAGAATTCCCATTCTTTAGATTGAAACCAAACAAGCAAAAATACTAGACCTCTTGAGAGAACCAAACTTCAAGTGTACTAAGTCTTCACAAAAATTGGGCAGAGTAACGGCTGTATACGGGTGAATTCTAGATTACAAACAAAGGGTGTAATCACAATAACCTGCACACAAAACAAACAAACAACCCAATGTCTTGAGGTAAACCTCAAGAGCTCCAGAAAAAATAATCAGATAAGATCACAAGGTCTCCAATCATAGGCCAAGGTTTCTAATCCTAAGTCCAAAAAGTCCAATGCTCCATAATGCCAAGGGTAGTAACTAAATAGTTCAAGTATCATTAAAGATTTTTAGGGTTTATGTTGATTATTAGGTGTATTTAAAAGAAAAGAAAAGCTCAAGTGAGCAAAATAAAAAATGACAAGAATATAAAGGGGCTCAAGTGAACAAAGATGAAAAATAGCATGAAATGTAAATGTTAAAAGTAAATGGTGCATAAAGTAAAGAACATAAAATAAAAATACAAAATAAAATCAATTATTAGTGATTAGTGGTTAGTTGGATGATCATCTTGAAACTTGCATTTGGAACTCATTAGAGGATTGGTATAACCAAAGCCTCCACACAATAATTTGCATTTGATTTTTGTCAAGTATATCATCCATTTGGAATCCTTATGAGTATCATTTAATGATCAATGATGTTTAAGTGATCCGCGTTGACCAAAGATGTTTTAGATCTATTATAGGATTGGTAGAACCAAAGCCTCCACACAATGAATCTCAAGGTTATTGGATCAAAGAGATCAAATTAACATACTTGGGCTTGCAAACATAAGTTTGGGCCACGAATGATCATTTATTCGAATCAGGACAAAATTTAGCGCTATGTTAAGCAATCGTAAGTGGACTTATATAGAAGTCACACCTATTTTGAGGTCGGTCAATAGCAATCTATGCACCATTTATTTTGAGACATGATATAGAGATCATGCTCCAACAACATTTAGTACAATAAGAAGAGGATGAGATGAAGAGGGGTGAGAGAGAATATACAAACCACTTTTGGATTGAATTTAATCAAACTATTATTAAAATCATTCATCCATTTTTTGTGGAGTTAGACTCAACACCATGGATCCAATGATGTTAATAAAGTTCATGATCAAAAATTTAACCCAAGATCAGCCAGAAAATAATCACAAAATAATATTACATTTTAATATATACAAAAAGGTTTAAAAATAATGTTTAAAAATAGAAATAAAAGAGAAAAAATGTCAACTATGTTCAAATTAATCAGGAAATAAAAAGTAAGACCATAGAAAAATCAGAAATGAACTAAAATAATTTTATAAATTTTTTTGTAATTTTTTAAAGTCAGAAACTATTTTAAAATTTAAAGAAATGTGTGAAATAAACCAAAAATGATAAAAAAAATAGCAAAGTCAGAAACAAAAATAAAATAAGGTCACCAATATTTGTCACAATATCATTGGATCATTCCATAATTTTTTCAGAATTTAAAAATGCATAAAAGTATTTTTAAACATTTAAAACAATTCCAATAATGTGTAAATTTATAAAAAAAACATACCGAAACACAAAATTAAATTGTGAAAAAATAGAAATCAGAAAGAGAATAATCAAAAATATTTTTCATAATTTTTTCAGATTTTTTGGACTAAAAATGAATTTTCTATGATTTTTTGAAGTTTAAAACAATTAAATATAAAAAATCAGAAAAGAAAATAAAAGTCAAAATATGTGGACCATTGGATGAGAGTCAAAACGCGTTAGTAATCAAATCCAAGGGATTTGGCGCGTTGTGCATATCATGGTCATTAGTGAATAAAGCACTGAATCAAAAATAAATTCAGAATTCAAAAATAACAAGTGGCGTGTCATCATTGGTTGGAAGATGACACATTGGTCATCTTCAACCTCCAGCCAACGTGAATTGCATGTCTCTCAAACTGTAAAATCAGAAGCTCAGACCTATGCGATTCGCTTCGTCTCTTCAAGACGAAGACAACCACACACTCGCACCAAATTTATATAAACTATAGCTCAAGCAATTTGGAAAGAAAGTTTTGAAAAGGGATTTGAAATTTCATGGTCAAAACATGTTTCTAGTAAGTAGTAAGTGTTGCGACTAGAACCAGGGCAATGAGAGCATCACAATGATATCAAAGTTTTGAAGAATTGATGAAGGAATCTACCTATTGAAGTTGAGTTGTAGAGCTCTGAAACTGGACTTCTATGGAGCAATATAGGGCATAATTCTTGAATGTAATTATATGGTTAGCTTCAGGGAAGATCAAGGAAGGTGAATTGATGAAAAAATTGGATTGTAAAAGGCTTGAGAATGGATTTCAAAATTACTGAATTCTGAGTTACAGAAC